CTCTCTCTCTCTCTCTCTCTCTCTCTCTCTCTCTCTCTCACACACACACACACACACACACATTAAATAAGTAAATAAATAAAATGTGATTAAACAATACCTTTGGAGACAGCACTGTTTATGGGGATGTCCATTCCTAGGTATGGTTTCAAGAAATTGAAAAGGGAAACTGGAGGAAAGCATGGATCCTGAAATGCCAGGAGAAAATTTCCCACTTGAAAACAAAAAAAAAGTTCCAAAATAATCAACATATAACAGTCGGTGATCATAATAAAATTATTTTGATGTAAAGTGTAATATGATTTATGAAAAGTGTCTTCAGATCATAATAAATATTGATCAATGTATTTAACAAGGGTATTTATTTGAAGAAACGGTATGTTTGGTCAAATGGAGCTCCTTTAGCTTATCCAAGGCTCCTGTCCTAATTCCAGCTCCTGGTCTGTTCCCTGTGAGACCTCCAGGCTTGCATCACATTGTGCTGGTGGCACCTATTCAGTGGCTCACTACAATCTTTTGGAGGTGTAAGCCGCATGATTTTGTGCCAACGTTGTGTTTTGATTTATCCGGGACTATCACCTTCTGAAGCCCTTTCTCCCCTGCAGGTCACCTTTCTACAGTCAAATGTCTCCTGTCTGTTTCCTACAGAGCTCCTGTAGCGTTCACTCTATTCTGCCTCTGCTCCTCTGTATTTCCTCATTCATGTTACTCTCACCTTTTGTATCTTTTTCTAATCTCATTCAAGAGCAGTTTCTGCATTGCTCAGACTCCTTGGTACTGCTCTCCAACTAAACACAGATCTCTGGTTATCAATCCTGGTCACTGGGCTGCCTTTTTTTTTTGCCAGTTATTATGTTTGTATAGACCTGAGGTTACTTTGCTAACTGGTTGAAAATTATCTAGGGATCTGAAACACATCTTCTCTATCTTTGCATCTGCATGTCTAAACCAGCACTATGCAACAGCAGGTATTTGGCATATAATTCTGTCTAGAATCATTTTGGGAGTTTAACTTAAACAAATGCTGCTGAATCATGGTTTTTCCTCAGTCATACGGTTTTGATCTCACATGCTGAGAGATTCCATTCATGCAAGCCAACATCTTTTGACTCTGTTCCTTTTAAATTTTAGCAGACAGAATCCCTGACGCAGCCCACAGAAATGCCCTCGTTAATGTGGTTGACCCAAGTTCCTTTGCTGTATTTTGCACAAGTTTTATATATTGCCTGAAGAAAAGTAACCTACTGCTTAAAAGAGCAACAAGAAGCTTTGCCGGTTAGTCAGCCTTCTTGTTCCGGAAGCCAAGACTTCCACAGAGCCTCATTTGCTTTAGGTGAGATGTCTCTGCCTCTGTTCAACATGCGTGTCCCACATAACCACATGGTGCTCACAAAACCACCTACATCCGTTCTCATACATTATGTCTAGCATCTTCGAATTCATCATTACTGACAGTTGCATTTTTTCAAAAGCTTCTGATTCCTTTTGTGGCAATGTGAGATGTGGTGGTTTGGGAGAAAAGCCAATGCCACTTTAAAGGTAAACACTTCCAATGTAAAGTTTACACACCACCAAAAGGAGTTATTATATGATATGCCTTTGTCCTACTCCACACTTAGAGCTCTTCAAAGGAGGTGACTGCTTCTTGAGCATCTTCAGCACAGAGCCTGGGAGATTGCAGACACTCAGGAAATATTCACAGACAGGGTTTAAGAAAAGGAAAAGGAAATTGAGGAAGTATAACTGGAAAGTAGAGAAATTACCAGCAGGCATCAAACCAACAAATATTTGCAAAGCACCTGTTCATGAGACCCCCAACTGCAGAAACTAAGAAGGGCTACATGCTGGCACAGCTCCATTCAGGTTTACTTTTTAACTCAGTTTAAAATGAGATCAAGGAAGAGAAAGTCAGAGGAAAAGGGAATTACATATTTTGCTCAGTTTCCTTTACTGAGTGTATGTCTTACAAAGATGCTCTTTCATTATGGAGTATATATTTGCTTAAGACTGTCTGTTGTCATAGGTAGAACAATCTGATACTGTGTTTAGCTTCTTTAATGCTTGAAAACTATATATCTTTAATGCCACTCTTCTGATGTCTGGCTCTTCTTGCAACATAGCTGGCCAGAGAAGATCAACATTTGTTTAAAATATATTTATTTTTTTGAGACAGGGTCCCATGTAGCTCACTCAGGGTGAGCTCAAAATCCTGATGTAGTTGAGGATTTTGACCTTCTTGCCTCCACCAACAAAATGCCAGGAATATAGCCTCCATTATGGTCATAACTACAGCCTTTAAATAGGGCACATGGACTCCTTTCCACATTGTCATCATGTATATACACATGAACCCATGTATCATCACCTTGTCAGAATACATGTGTGTCAATGAAATCAAAGATAATCTAAGAATGGGAAAGTTTCTGGAGAGTGGGTAACATATTCATTTTAATCTAGGGTATACTACTTAGACAGGTACCATAGAAAGCACAAGGAACTTAGGATGGAATTGTAAAATGCTTGCCACTCCTTTGTTGGGTTTATAGCTTTAAGCACATAGTGTCTGATTATCTTCATTTTTTTTTTTTTCTGTTTTTTATTTAAATTAGAAACAAGCTTGTTTTATATATCAATCCCAGTTCCCTCTCCCTCTCCTCCTCCCCTGCCCCCACTAACCCTCTATTCCATCCCCTTTCTGCTCCCCAGGGAGGGTGAGGCCTTCCATGGGGATCTTCAACATATGTCATATCATTTGGAGCAGGGCCTAGGCCCTCCCCCTTGTGTCTAGGCTGAGAGAGTATCCCTCTATGTAGAATGGGCTCCCAAAGTCCATTCATATACTAGGGATAAATACTGATCCTCTACCAGAGGCCCCATAGATTGCTGTGGTCTCCTTACCGACACCCACATTCAGGGGGTCTGGAACAGTCCTATGCTGGTTTTCCAGCTATCAGTCTTGGGCTCCCCATTGTTCAGGTCAGCTGTTTCTGTGGGTTTCACCAGCCTGGTCTTGACCCCTTTGCTCATCACTTCTCCCTCCCTGCAACTGGATTCCAGGAGTTCAGCTCAGTGTTTAGCTGTGGGAGTCTGCTTCTGCTTCCATCAGCTACTAGATGAAAGCACTAGGATGGCATATAAGGTAGTCATCAATCTCATTATTGGAGAAGGGCATTTAAGATAGCCTCTCCACAACTGCTTAGATTGTTAGTTGGTGCCATCCTCTGCACATTTCCTTAGGGTCAGATTTCTCTTTAAACCTATAATGGCTCCCTCTATGATGGTATCTCTTTTCTTGCTCTTCTTTATGCTTCCCCCTACTCAACCTTCCTGCTCTCTCATGTCCTCCTCTCCCCTCCTCTTCTCCCCCTATCTTTCTCCTAGCTCCCTCTCCCCTCCCCCATGCTCCCAATTAGCTCATGAGATCTTGTTCCTTTCCACTTCTCTGGGGCACCATGTATGTCTCTCTTAGGGTCCTTCTTGTTTCCTGGATTCTCTGGTGGTGTGGATTGTAGGCTGGTAATCCTTTGCTCTATGTCTAAAATCCATACATGAGTGAGTACATACCATGTTTGTCTTTTGTGACTGAGTTGCATCACTCAGGTTGGTTTCTTCTAGTTGCATGCATTAGCCTGAGAATTTCAAGATTCCATTGTTTTTTTCTGTTGAGTCATACTCCATTGTGTAAATGTTGAACAGATGTTCTTATTGTATGAATGTGCTTCTTTTGGGTATATGCCTAAGAGTGGAATTGCTGGATCTTGAGGTAGACTGATTCCCATTTTTCTGAGGAACTGCCATACTGATTTCCAAAGTGGCTGTATCAGTTGGCACACCTACCAGCAGTGGAGGAATGTTCCCCTTTCTCCACAACCTCTCCAGCATAAACTGTCATTGGTGTTTTTGATTTTAGCCATTCTGACAGGAGTAAGATTATATCTCAGAGTTGTTTTGATTTGCATTTCCCTGATGGCTAAGGATGTTGAGCAATCTCTTAAGTGTCTATCAGCCATTTTAGATTCCTCTGTTGAGAATTCTCTATTTAGTTCTGTACCCCACTTTTTAATTTGATTATTTACTGTTTTGGAGACTAGCTACTTGAGTTCTTTGTAAATTTTTTAGATCAGCCCTCTGTCATATGTGGGGCTTGTGAATATCTTTTCCCATTCCGTAGGCTGCCATTTTGTCTTGTTGACTGTGTCCTTTGCCTTATAGAAGCTTCTCAATTTCATTTATTAATTGTCAATCTCAGTGTCTGTGCTTCTGGTGTTATGTTCAGGAAGCTATAAAAAGACCCTGTCTTAAAGAAGAAAAAAAGAGTTGCAAGATACTGAATAGTTTAAACTTATTTTTACTCCTGAATTTGTGTTCACAAACAAACATACAAACTTACAAGGTGTGCCAAACACAAGTCCTCAGTTCTTAGGGCAAGCCTACCTATGCTGCTTGTTGCCTACATAGATTTTGTGCACCATACATGACTCTGGTTATGGAGCACCTGCCATGTGCCAGCTGGGGTTTGGCTTGGTTTCGTTTCCTCACTCAGACTGTAGTTTTAGGTCTGTGTAAAACTGTCCATCTTGATCCCTGGGAAAGAGAATTTTACCAGGTGATTACAGAAGACTGTCAGAATGGGCCAGATTGCAGTTGGGAGAGGTTGATTTCTCTTGTGAGGGAGGTTGGGTGGCACCCAAGAAAGGACAGATGGGTTTTGAGTATTGCCTTGTATTCTGTAGGGTGGCATCAATACAAGTGTACCTCATGGAGGAATCTTTGTGAAATCCATCATTCCTGGAGGTCCAGCTGCCAAGGAAGGACAGATCCTGCAGGGTAAGGGCTACGTCCTACTGGCAGTTCTGCTTTCTGTGGTTTCGATCCCTCGCTGAGAGGTACAGCTCAGGCCTTGCTCATTTCAGTTCTGGTGCCTCCAGTCTCTCTCCAGGGCCTGATTTCTTTGCCTGAGAAGGGGAGGATTTCATCTGCTTCACCCATCTGATCAGTTGGCAGTGGTCTAAAGTTCATAATAAAAATCGGGTAGGAAATTTAAGAGAAGCTTATTGCTGGGGTAGAGCTCTGCTTCCTTAGGAAGACAGGACTGATACTGGTGACCCAACTTTAGCACAGGGGCACTGAAAGCTTTTTTTCTGCCCTGAATTTCTTGTTACTCTGAAGGAGTGATTTTTATTCTCTGAAACTGCCCAGCTGAACCAGAAAAAGACACTAAAGATCTTATTTATTTTTGTTTTCCCTTCAGTTCCAGTATTTCTAACACCAACTATTGTCTTTCTGACCTTTTTTGAAATAGAAAACATCCTGGGGATATAAATATTACCCCTGAGTGAGTTGAAAATCTTTTAAAAAATAGTTTCACAGGAAAACGGGAGGAAAGATAAGGGTGACCAGACCTGGCTTGGCCATTCTGTGAGCCAATAATAGACAGCTTTCATGTCCTTGCTCTGTTGTAAGCCTCAGGAATAGGCCCAGGGTGTTCAGAGAGGCAGCTGATGCTCAGGTTCATGCAGGCTCCTGCTGAGCCCAGGGCTACCTGGCAGCTCTGCTTCCTGCCCTGTAGGCAGCCGATTTGTAGAGAGTTCTTGTATCCCTGGGGGACAGGGCACATGACCATCATTCCTTTCCCAGGTGACCGGCTCCTGCAGGTGGATGGAGTGAGTCTATGTGGTCTGACTCACAAGCAGGCTGTGCAGTGTCTCAAGGGTCCTGGGCAGGTGAGCATACCTTTACTAGGGACATTTTCTTACTTCCAGAGCTTTCCAGAAGTTACAGCTGCCTCCAGGTAGGATGAAGGCAGCCAAGAAACAAAATAGGACCTTTTTTAGTCTACATTTTTTCCCTTTTTCACTCTTCATCTTCACATCATTTTTCTATGAGAATGTGAAACCCAGGAGGTAGCAGACAGATGTTTTAAAGTAGAAAACCTCGCACCCTTTAAATAAATTTGGAAAGCTTATAGTTGTTTGCCTTGATTTGGGCTTCAGATAGCAGAAGAGAACTGAGGGAGAACACAGGCTCCTCCAGGCTGACTCTGGCTATACCCCTGCCTGTGCCAACCCCATTGACCAGGGCATCCACCTGCACTCAGAGGCCCTGTCTCTTCCACACTTTGCCCATAGTGATCTCTGTCTCCCTGTTCATGTTCTTGTCTGTCACCCTGTGCTTACACACACTAGGACCTGAGCTGGGTTGCTTTTTGGTTTCTGATCATCACAGTGAGTTTGTACTCACCACATGAAGTTTGTACTCTGTCTCTTTAGGTGGCATGGCTGGTCTTAGAGAGGAGAGGCCCCAGGGCTGCTGAGATTCAGGATTCGGAGAGCTAGAAGTTCTCAGTGTACCCTCTAGTCCCTGTGATGCCCAGGCAGAGTCTCAGGACTGCCACTGGGCTCTGTCCTCTGCCTCACAGTGGAGCTCTTTAATTGTTCCAGTATCCTGAGCCACATATTTCCATAGCTTTCTTTCAGTGATAGAGGAGCTAAGAGGGAGAGAAAAGGTTTCAAGGGCCTTCTACCTAGCTTCCAGGTACAGTTGAAGCCTTGCTTCATATCTTGAGAAGGGGTCATAACTAATTAACACTGTCTGCTTATTAGGCTGTCACTAATGCACATGGTTAAAGAAAACTGGTTCAGTGCCAAGTAGGAATTGCCAAGGTGGGGTGGTGTTGAATGACAATTGCAGCAGAAGGATGGAGTCAGGGTCAAGTGCCCCAAATGGAAGCTTGACATTTCTAATAAGCTTCATAGCGAGGTCCATCACTGCATTGTGAACTGTGTTGGGTAATGAGAACATGAGATGCTGTGGGGAAGGCCAAGAAATCAAACCAGGGAAAATGGAGGAGGGTTGGTCATCGTGGGATTTTTGTTGCCATTCTGTGGTTTTGGGATTCAGGTGATGGAAAATATTGGGGACTTTTAACTGATCATTGCAAGTTCAATTTTGTGTCTTAAACAAGTTCACTAGTAGTCATGCTGGGAGTGGACCAAAGACATGGTAAAGGGCCAGAAAGTCAGGCTAGAGCTTGCTGCAGTGGAATGAAGGAATGGAGACAGTCTGAGAGAGTTACATTTGCTGGAGAACATATAAGCCTTAGAACCAAACTAGCATGGAGGCAGGAGGGGGACAATTGGATGACTCCAAGTGTGGAGTCTAGTTATAGTTGGGTCAACGAATCTGTATCCCACGAAGGGCTAGACTAGAGATTTGGACTTGAGAATCAAGTGAAGCAGCTCACTGGAAGCACTGGAAAATTAAGAGGCAACTGCAATTACCACATGAAGTTTGTACTCTGTCTCTTTAGGTGGCACGGCTGGTCTTAGAGAGGAGAGGCCCCAGGGTTGCACCACAGTGTCCTTCTGCTGATGACAGCATGGGAGATGCACACATGGCTGTTTCCCTGGTAACAGCCAGGTCTGGCAGACCTGCGAGCTGTGTCTCAGTGACAGATGGTAAGAGGAGAGAGAATTGAGTGTTACTATTGTCATATCATTATATACTGCTTTAGAGTTGTCAAGTCAAAGGGGGAAAGGCAGGGAGGCTTCCTCTGGGTTTTAAAAAAATGCCAGCAGGATGGCTCATGGTTGTCATCCAAGCTGGTGGAAAATGTTCTTTGAAAAACAAAAATACATTGTGTCCAAATGACTACTATCAATAATTCTGCTCCCAAATCATATGCAGTATCCTGATCACTGACCTGAATATTAATGTTCGTACACAAATATTTAGGGATAGAATTGACATGAAAGGGTCAGGTATTTTCAAATACAGTTGGTTCTACATTCCAGCCAGGCACTTGCAACAGAGACATCCTGGGGCTGACTAGGCAGACTCAGGGACAAGGTGATCAGGAAGCTAGCTTTGTTAGTAGCATCCTTTAAAAGGTCAGACCCTGACCAGTCTAGAGGGACATACTGCATCTCCTGACGGGCCTCCTCTCTGCATGTCTATGTGATTTTTTTTCCTGCAAGGAAAGGCCTGTTTCCATAGAACACCATGGGGTGGAGCTTGATTGACCACAACCTACTCCTTCCACAGGGATTATTATGGCCGAGCCATAGGAGTCGTGATGCAGGTTGGATGCATGGTGGTGCTATCATCGTTAAATTCAGGCTGCCTCTTCTCCCGTCAACAAATCTGTGCACTCCAAATGCAACCTTTGAAAAAGCAGCTAAACACTGAGCAGCTGAGACCAGTGTGGCAAAGGCAGGCGCTCTCATATGCCACAGACCTCACTCTCTGCTTCAGCTATTTTCATTCTTGCTCCAGTGAAAATCTAAAAGCCATAGCTCTGTTACTCTGTTCATTGATTGCCTTCTAAACCGTGAGGACAAAGCAGGAGAAGCTCGGAGGCTCCCTGATGAGGAACAAGATCGAATCCGTGATCCTTTGGTTAATAGACTCCCTAGATGCCCAAGGTTGTGTCCATCTTTGGCAAACCAGAAGTGACTGGTCTTAGGGTCAGTGTACATGGCTAAACAAAATGGCAGGGAGAACATTCTTCAGAGTTGATTGCTGTTGTCCCTGTGATCTGTTTATATAAAATTGCATGTTGCATATACTAAAACATCATTAAGATCCCACATCACAATGTACATGTAATGCAAGCTTTACTGTATGCTATAAACAGACAGTGTGTGTCTAAAGATCCTTCCTTACATATACATTTAGTTGCTTATATTTAAACACTTGGTATGGCAGGCACTTGTCATGTGTGACTGTTAAACATTTAAAATGTGGTAATCCAAAAGGATAGTGTGAACTAGAGAGCAAAGATTTAGTTTGTAAGAAGAATGAAGGTGACCTCAAACATCTTTTGTGTTGATTCCATATTGATGTGATAGTAATTTAGATATGTGACAGTCTCTAACATAGCATGATGAGCTGTGAAAGTCTCACGTATTCAAAAGACCATACTTGGAGCTTGAGTTTCTCATTAAGATGGTGGGAGGCAGTGGTGAGATGTGGCTTAGAATCAAAGTTGCCAAGAGAAACTGCAATGGGCTGTGTTGCTAAACTAGGATTCTGGGAAGGTTAGATTCTTTCAATGCACTCTCAACACAGTCTTTCCCATAGGATTTACGAGGATGTAATCCCCTTGTAAATGAGGAGCATCTGTAATGAGTTAAATACAATACATAATTTAACCTTATTTTACCTGTTTCTTTTCACTTTTTAAAACATGTAGCTACTTGAGAGCTTTGAAAGGATCTTTATGGTTTGCATTTACAACTCAGATTCTATCTATGGGCAGCTCTGATCTGTCCTGTGTGTGATGGACCCCATCATCAAAGTTAGCACTGAAATACTTCTCTGCAAGACAGAAGCAGTTCATCTCCATGACGACTCACAGGTCAAGGCCAGCCAGCTGCCACCCACCGAAGGGCCTATTTTCATGAACTCCCATGTTACAGGTCCTAAGTTTGAAGTCAAACTGAAGAAGAATAGCAGCGGTTTGGGATTCAGTTTCGTGCAGATGGAGAGAGGAAACTGCAGCCACCTCAAGAGCGACCTTGTGAGGATTAAGAGGCTCTTTCCTGGGCAGCCAGCTGAAGAGCATGGGGCCATTGCAGCTGGTGACATTATCCTGGCAGTGAACGGAAAGTCCATAGAAGGCCTCGCCTTCCAGGTGCTCAGCAGCGCTGGGGGTGGAAAGTACAGATGTGGATGAGAGCTGGGGAGCTGGGGGTGGGGAGTGCAGATGTGGATGAGAGCTGGGGTGGGGAGTACAGATGTGGATGAGAGCTGGGGTGGGGACTACAAATGTGGATAAGAGCTGGGGTGGAGAGTACAGTTATGGATGCTTACTGGGGAGCTGGGGGTGGGAAGTACAGATGTGGATGAGAGCTGGGGAGCTGGGGGTGGGGAGTACAGATGTGGATGAGAGCTGGGGTGGGGAGTACAGATGTGGATGAGAGTTGGTGGAAGTCATGTTTCTTTGAGGACCATCCCCATAGAGAATACTTCGGGTTCTTAGAATTCACACCTGAATCTGGGCTTGGAGCCCACAGAAAGCAATCTACAGGATGTGCCCACAGTTATTTTCTATCTCAGTTTTAAAATATCTGCCTGGAGTATTGCTTTTCGGTAGGCCAACTCGGTGAACCTGAGCATAAAAACTGGCTTATATTCAGGCTAATGGTCTCTCTGTGTACATTCTAGGAGGTGATGTGAAACTGGAGGGACTAAAGAGGGTACCTTATCACTCACCTTGAGATTAGTGCACTGAATTTGTTGCTTTGTACACATAGTGTAGCATAGACTTCCCCACCAGTGGCCAAAAGTTCGAGGGGCTGGAGAGATGGCACAGTGGGTAAGAGCACAGACTGTGTAGCAGAGGGCCTGAGTTTGGTTCTCAGCACCTGTGTCCAGTAGCTCACAGTTTCCTGTAACTTCAGCTCCAGGATCTGATCCTTTTGTTGATCTCTGCAGGCACCTGCATACATATTTACACAGAGACACAAATAAAAATAATATGATAGTGAAGGTCTCTCTCTCTCTCTTCTCTCTCTCTCTCTCTGTGTGTGTGTGTGTGTGTGTGTGTGAGAGAGAGAGAGAGAGAGAGAGAGAGAGAGAGGCTTATAATACAAAATCTCAAGGAAATGTCTCTGTTAGTTGGAGTATTGGCAGAAAATAGTCATTTGAAGAGACTTTAATAATGGTATGAGCATGTTATTGGGAAGTTAGAGGTGAGTATAGTGACATGGAGTACAGCTCTCCACCTTTCCCCACTCAAAAGGGGATGAGAAGGAGCCGCTACCCAACCAGAGAGACAGGATAGGTAACAAGGATTCACCAGCATGGTCTGAGGCCTTCACTGAGGTCATCATCCTGTGATGACCCAACAGGGGAAATCAGGAGCCAACACCAACCTCCCTCTCTTCCTGATCCCTCCCTCCAGCCAAGCCCATGTGAGTGCTTCATGAAGCCCACACAGGCATGTCAAAGGATGGCATTCAAATAGATAGTAGCTTGAGCAGGAAAGGGGGCACTGCCTGAGTTTAGATGAGGAGGCCTTGTCTTCAAATGTCTATGTGATCCAAGTGTGGATCTCCAAGCCACTACTAGGGAGCACATTTCCCAAGGACTATAGATATGGGGGTGATTGTGGTGGTGAGGAGACAGCTGGGCATCCTCACATGTCATGATGGGGGTGAAAAAGACAGGAAAACCACAGACGCTACAGAGGATGTATTGTGAAAGAGAAGTCCAGGCTTCTGTGTACATATCCAGGTGCCAGGAAGAGGGGCTGTGAGTTTTCTGCCACTGTGACAATATGCCCGAGAACACTGACTTTCAAAAGGGAAATTTGGTTTGGGCTTATAGCTTCAGGGGTTTCAGTCCATGATTGTTTGGTCCCACTGGTTATGGGTCTCTGGTGAAGCAAACTTTATGGTGGGGAGTGTGTGGCAAGGTGAAGCTTCTTTTCTCATGACAGATGGAGAGAAAGAGGAAGGAAGGAGGAAGGGAGTGAAAGAAAGAGAGACAGGGAGAAGAGACACACAGAGAGAAGACAGGAAGACAGAGATAGCTTGAGAGAGACATACAGAGGGAGAGAGAGAGAACTCAACAGAGAGATAGAGTCAGAGAAGAGAGGCAGAGATAGAGAGAGACAGAGGTAGAGTTTGAGAGAGAATTATACAGAGGGAGAGAGAGCAAGACAGAGAAAGACACAGAGAGAGACCCAGTATTTCCTTCAAGGGCACAGTCCAATTAGGCAGTCCAACTAGGCCCCACTTCCTGTAGATCTCATCACCTCCCAACAACACAATGAGCTGGGGACCAAGCTTTTGTCACACGAGCCTTTGCAGGACATTCCAGATCTAGACTGGAAGAATACAATCAGTGGAAGACCTGGGCAACTGAGGGGACATTGTGGAACACCTGGATCAGAGGTTGTCAAGGAGGCTGGATGTTACCTGGTGTGAACATTTGGTGAATCCTGAGACAACTGAAGTTGTCGCAACTGATATGTGCTTCTGTCATCTCATGGGTAGAGATGGCACAACTGATATGTGCTGCTGTAATCTTTAAAGTAGAGACTAATGGTGATGCTGAACATCCTTTGACAAATGGGTCCCAACAGAGTTACCTAGCCCCAAATGTGGAGAAGATGGGGAAGTTGGAAGATCCTGGTGTAGACAGGAACTGGAAGCTACAAACGTACTGTGCTCCGGCAGTGAGAGGGTGGCTCGAGCACAGGATCAGGACTGGGGAGGCTTAGGCTGTGTTACAAAGATGAGCAGGTGGCAAAGAGCAGTTTGAAAGGCAGTGGCTGGGGAATGCAGGTTCGGTGATCTGTGTGGTTGTGGTGAGGAAGGAAGTGGCTCACTAAGAGAGTACATTTTGGAAAGGTTTCTCCTGGGCAATGTAGAAGGAAGGAAGCAGGCAGGGTTCTAAGAAAAGACAAAGATCAAAGAAGAGGTCATTGCAATTCCACAGGGGAACAAGCTTTAGGGCCTCAGCCTCATTAGGAAGATTCCCGAAGGCCTCTGTGTATTGCTGCTGTGAGTTACCAAGATGCTGTTTGTGTCTCTTGGGTGTTTGGGGAGTTAAGCTTACAATGGTGTTTTCTTAAGTTCTCTGGAGCCAAGCTATAGGTCAAGGCAGGGGAGATGGTTTCCTGGGAGCAGTGAATAATAGCACAAAGCAGCAGCCTCCAGTGAGGCAACTCAGATATGACTGTGACTGGGTTTCTTGCAGGAAGTGCTCCATGTATTGCGTGGGGCTCCAGAGGAAGTGACACTACTTCTCTGCCGACCCCCTCCTGGGACACTGCCTGAGATGAAGCAGGGATGGCAGGTAAGAGACATGGATCCTTATCACTCATTACTGGTCCCATCAGCCATTCACTTTTCAGTCTGTTGGTTCTGAAATAGCCATCACTACTTTGGTGGGGGGAGGGGCGCAACACCAGCCTTTTCCAGTTTTCCCCTCAAACCTTAGTGCATCTATCTTCCTCCCTGTCCCTTTGCTCCCACCATTAGTGCCTCCTTATAGATGTGTAGAAAATGGTTAGACTTTGTTCATGAAAGTCTAGACTTTGTCCTCTGACATCCTAAGCACAGAACCAAGGCAAAAGAATTTCCTGTAGGAGTTTCCACACTGAGAAATAAAATGTGTACCCACCCACCTGAAGCCTGAAACAGACAAGTATAGCTGGTGCAGAGGTCAGAGCCGCTGGGACCACAGAAGCATGGGGGCTTTACCTGGATGTGTATATTAGTCTGGTTCTCCAGAGAAATAGAACAAAGGGAAAGATGATGGATGGATGGATGGATGGATGGATGGATGGATGGATGGATGAACAGATAGGTATGTAGACAGACAGACAGATAGACGGGTATTTATTGTAAGGAATTAACTTACATAATTCTGGTGATGGCCAGCATAAGCTCCACATAGCCAACCAGCATGCTGGAGACCTGGGAAGAAGTTGAGACTGGTGCAGAGGGCAGCAGGTGGGGCAGAGCTGCTGGAGAAGGTGGCAGAGCGTGAACACAGGTTCAATGCAGTGAGCTGAGTGGGTAGGTGGGGTGGTAATCTGGAGGTGGGTGAAAGTCAGTCTTCTCAAGACTTCTGCTGATTGGATAAGGATCTCCGAGGCCTGAAGGGTGTGCTCTTTGCTTAACGGCTACTGATTTTAGAATTAACCACACCTAAAAATACATTTATAGTGATATCAACAGTGGTGTTTAAAAAAAATCTGGGTGCCCTGATCTAGTCAAGTTGACATCTGAAATGACCTGTCAACTACTGGGGATTCCTTGCTGGGTCTCTGGGAAGTTGACTTTTTGACAGAGATTTGAGGACAGGGAGCCTATGGGTTGGACCACTGGAGCATCACCTGTGTAGATCAGGAAGCTGTCCTCAGCAGAGGGGGAGGTCAGTGTACAGACATAATAGGGCCTCTGCTGAATCCACAGGCAGTTCTGGAGCTGAGATGGCCTCTGGCAACTGTTCAGAGTAGCACACCAACATTAGAGTGTGCACTGAAGCATCTCCCTTGAGGTGGTGGGAATGTATGGCCATGGGCCACCAGTTGCTTTCCCTGAGCACATGGAGGAGAAGTGATAGTTCCTGGTCCCACAGAAAATGGAGATGCTTTTAGGGCTCCAGTAAAGAAGTCTATCAAGTAGCTGTTTGTGAAGAACAAGCATGAGGTCCAGACTAGAAAAAATGAGTTTGGAATTACTAGTACATAGGTTTATATAAACGAAATGGTTGGTCCAGTTCCTCCTTGGAACATGAAGAACACAGCACTGAGAGCTCTGGTATAGAGAGCTAAGGCTGAGAAGAGGGGCAAGAGAAGAGGTTGGACAAGACAGCAATGGGCATCTCATACAGAGAATGAGCAAAGGCGTATCTGTTAAGCAGGATGTACCAGTTTAACGGTTGTTACTGAAAGCTAGATAGGGAAAAAGGGCAGAGAAGTGCCCTGGGGCTTTCGGAAGAGATTAATTACTAGACATATTTCCCTCAGAGTTTGCCATGAAGTAGAACAAGTGAGTAGATGGCTGATAGGTGAAGGGTGAATGGGGTTGGGGTACAGGCTGACCAGTAAGACTTGTGTGGGTGAGGAGGACTCCTATCTAATGTGTTGTTCTTGCTGTGAAGTAAGAGGAGACTTGGAAGAAAGTTGCTGGGGGCTTAAGAAAGATGGAAGATAATCTGTAGGAAACAGAACTGATACTGACAAAGATTGTCTGGAAGCCTTGAATGAGCACTGACATCTACAGCCACACCTGAGGCATTCACAGGACAGAGGCTTGGCAGCTCCTGGGGGGGGGCCACACCCTTTCAGTGGGAACTGGAAAGAACTTGTGTTGTGTGAATGAAACAGAGGTGGAAGCAGAGAGGAGTGCAGGAGTAAGCTGGGGATCTTCTTTGTGAGAGAGTGACATTGCAGGGAGGTAGAGTCAAAGGGGAAGGAGGATGTAGGTGTTAGGATAACAAAAGGCATTGGTGATTACAAGAGGCTTTGAGGAGTGAGCTGCTGGAGGATGTCTGGGGTGGAGTCAGAGCCAGGGCTTGCAGGGAGGCTCTTCCAGGTGTGGAAACTACTCTGTCTCTTTATGTTTTAAAATTTCTTTCATTTCAGATTTTGATTTTCTTTAAGCCCTTTATAATAGACACAGTACCAGCGAGGGAGTGGTTATGATTTATAATTCAAGTGTGCATCTTTGGGGGCATTCATTTCTTTTGGCAGTGTCAGGGGTGGGGGGATGATATGCTATTACAGAGGCTCACCCCCAAGGGAGGATCCTTGGTGGTGGAGGTGAAGGTTTCTCTGTCCAATGAGATCAGGGCTGGGAGCTCAGCCCTGTGCTCTATGATGGAAGGGAGTTTGTTGTGGGGTGCCAATGCTGACCTAATTTCCAGGAAAATGTAAAATCCCAATTTCTATATAGTTATAAATATTAACACATGTGTAACTCATTCAAAAAGGGAAACAGGCAGATGTTAAAACTGATAAAAATGGTTCAAAAGAGATGCCAAAGACTAGCATGTTCATTTATGGAGTTGCAAAAAAGTTTCCATTGTACTAAGTTTCCAATTCCCCAAATGTCCCCCACAATTCCAGCCATCTCTCCCCACACTCTCTCCCTACACTCCATCTCCCCACCAAACCTGATCCCCACTTCCCCGGTCCACCCAAAAATATATTTTATTTCCTTATCCCTGGGAGATCCCTGTGTCCCCTCCCCCAGATCCCTCCTTTTTACCTATCCTCTTTCGGGTCTACTAATTGTAGCTTGGTTACCATTAACTTAACTGATGATATCCCCATATAAGTGAATATGTATCATATTTATCTTTCTGGGTCTGGATCACCTCACTCAGTATGATTATTTTCTAGTTCCATCATTTACGTGCAAATTTCATGATGTCTTTTTTTTTAAGGGCAGCAATACTCCATTGTGTACATATACCATATTTTCTTTATTCATTCTTCTGTTGAGGAACACCTAGATTGTTTCAAGTTTTTGGCTATTATGAGTAAAACTGCAATGAACATGGTTGAGCAAATGTTCTTGTGGTAGGAGGGAACAATTTTTGAACATATGGCCAGGAATGATATAGATGGTTCTTGAGGTAGGTTGATTCCCAACTTTCTGAGGAACCACCATATTGATTTCTATAGTGACTGTACAAGTTTGTACTCCCACCAGCAATGGAGGGTGTCCCCCTTGCTCCACATCCTCAACAACATGAGCTGTCACTTGTGTTTTTGATCTTAGCCATTCTGACAGGTGTAAGATAGAATTTCAGCATTGTTTTGATTTGCATTTCCCTGATGGCCACGGATTTTAAACATTTCTTAAGTGTTTCTAAGTCATTTAATATTCCTCTATTGAGAATTATGTGTTTAGGTTTGTTCTCTCAATTTTTAAATTTGATTATTTGTTTTTTGATGTCTAATTCTTTATATATTTTGAGTATTATATATTTCTATCAGAAGTAGAGTTGGTAAACATCTTTTCCCATTTTGTTCTATTGATGGTGTCTTCTATCTTATAGAAACTTTTTAGTTTCATGAGGTCCCATGAGTGCCTTGCTATTGGTGTTCTATTCAGAAAGTTATCTTCTTGTGCCAGTGTGTTCATGGATTTTCTACTTTCTCTTCTATCAGGTTCAGTGTGTCTGGTTTTATGTTAAGGTCTTTGATACATTTGAACTTGAGTTTGATGCAGGGTGATAAATAGAGATCTGTTTGCATTCTTCTATATGCCAGCATCCAGTTTGACCAGCACTATTTGTTGAAGATGCTTTCTTTTTTCCAGTGTATAATTCAGGTGTTCATATATGTGTGGATTTATGTCTTGGTCTTCAATTCAATTTCATTGATCAACATGTCTGATTTTATGTGAATATCACACAGTTTTCATCACTATAGCATTGTAGTACAGCTTGAAACCAGGAATGGTGGGACATTCAGCAGTTCTTTTATGGTTCAGAATTGTTTTAGCTATCCAGGGTCTTCTGTTTTTCTGCATGAAGTTGAGAATTGTTCTTTCAAGGTATGTGGAGAATTGTTGGAATTTTGGTGATGAGTGCATTGAATCTGATGATTGCTTTTGGTAGGATGGTCACTTTTACTATGTTAATCCTGCTGGTCCATGGGTATGGGAGATCTTTCCATCTTCTCACATTGCCTTCTATTTCTTTCTTCAAAGACTTGATGTTTTTAATCACATAAATCTCTTCTCTTGCTTGGTTAGAGTTACCCAAGATATTTTATACTATTTGAGACTATTGTAAAGGGTGTTGTTTACCTGATTTCTTTCTTTTTTTTTTTTTCTGTCTTTGGTATTTTGAGACAGGGCTTCTTTGTGTACTTTGGCTGTCCTGGAACTAGCTCTGTAGACCAGGTTGGTCTCACACTCACAGAGATCCAACTGCCTCTGCCTTTCAAGTACTGGGATTAAAGGTCTGCACCCCCCCACACACATTCCCTGATTTCTTTCTCAGTGTTTGTCATTTGTATATAACAGGTCTACTGATTTTTTGTATTAAACTTGGATCTAGCCACTTTGCTGAAAGTGTTTATCAGCTAGTAGGAGTTCTATGGTAGAATTTTTCAGATCACTTATGTTTACTATCATATCATCTGCAAACAAAGATACTTTGTTTCCTTTCCAATTTGTATCCCCTTGATCTCCTTCAGTGAGTGGTGTTAGTTTTAGTCCTAGTTCTAACTAGGACTTCAAGTACAGTATTGAATAGGTATATAAAGAGTGAGCAGCCTTGTCTTGTTCCTGGTTTTAGTGGGATTGCTTTGACTTTCTTTCCATTTAATTTGATGTTGGCTATAGGCTTGCTGTAAACTGCCTGTATTATGTTTATATATATATCCCTTGTGTTCTTTATCTCTCCAAGACTTTTATCATGAAGGGGAGTTGGATTTTGTCAAACTCCTTTTCAGCATCTAATGAGATGATCCTGTGTGCTTTTTTCTTTCATTTTGTTTTTATGGTAGATTACATTGAACTATCTCTACATCTCTAGGATGAAGCCTACTTAATCATGGTGGATGATCTTTTTGATGTGTTCTTGAATTTTTGCAAGTATTTTATTAAGTATTTTGTATCTGTGTTCAGAAGGGAAATTGATCTGCAATTTCCTTTCTTTGTTGAGTCTTTATGTAGTTTTGGGTATCAGGGTAATTATGGCCCCATAAAATGATTGGATAATATATTCCTTCTGTTTCTATTTTTTGGAATAATTTAAGGAGTGTTGGTGTCAAAGTCTGGTAGAATTCTGTACTAAAACCATCTGGCCCTGGCTTTTTTTTTTTTTTTTTTTTTTTTTTTTGGTTGAGAGACTAATGACAGCTACTGTTTGCCAAGGGATTATAGGTCTATTTAAATGTATCTAATCTTGATTTAACTTTGGTAAGTGATACCTATTGAGAAAATTATCCATTTCTTTTAGATATTCCAATTTGATGGACTACAGGTATTTTTTTAAAGTAGGTCCTTATGATTCTCTGGATTTTGTTGGTTGAAGATGGAGGATTCTGTCCTGCCTGGTCCCATTGCCACTTTGCCCCAAATAAACACACAAAGACTTATTAAGTATAAACTGTTGGCTGATGGCTAGGGCTTCTTATTGGCTAGCTTTGTCTTAATTACCCATTTCTATCAATCTATGTATTGCCACAAGGCTGTGGCTTACCCGTAATCTGGCATGTTACTCCTTGGGCAGCATGGCGTCTCTTGGCAACCTTGCCTTCTCCTACCTTCCTCTCCCCAGCCTTCTCCTGATCTGGTAGCCGTGCCAATCCTTCCTGCCTGACTACTGGTCACAAAGTTTTATTCATCAACCAATAAGAGAAACATATATACAGAAGGACATCCCCCATCACTTGGTATCTGTTGTTATGTCCCTCTTTTCCTTTCTGATTTTGTCAATTTGGATATCCTCTCTTCATCTTTTAGTTTGAATAATAGTTTGTCTATCTTGTTGATTTTCTCAAGAACCAACTCATTTCATTGATTCTTTGTATTGTTCTCTTTTTTCTTTTATTGATTTCAGTCCCAATTTTGATTGTTTCTTGCCATTTACTCCTCTTGGATGAGGTTACTTCCTTTTGTTCTAGAGCTTTCAGGTGTGCTATTAAGTCGCTAGTATGAGATTTTCTCCATTTTTTTTTTTATGTAGGCACTTAGTGCTATGAACTTTCCTCTTAGCACTGCTTTCATTGTATTTCATAAATTTGAGTGTGCTGTGTATTCATTTTCATTGAATTCTGGAAAGTCTCCCAGATTCATAGCTCTCAAACTAAAGTACTTAAAGACAAGGTTATGTTGCCCAGGGAACAGGTACAGGATTGAGACCCTGACAGAAGAGAGGCTGATTACAAAGTCTCTCTCTATAGCTCAGACCTAAAAGCATCTGGAAAAAATTCTTATTTCTTTAGATATTATTTTAATTTAAAAATTATATGTATGTGGATATGTCTGCCTGAAGGTAAGTATAAATGAGTGCAGGTGCCTACATAGATCACAGAAGGCCATCAAGTCATTGTGAGCTGCTTGACATGGATGCTGAGAATTGAATTCTAGTCCTCTGCATGTGTAGTATATGCTGTTAGCCACTGTACCATATCTTCAGCCTCCAATTTAAACAGTGTTTCTCTGTGTAGCTTTGGTGGTCCCAGAACTCTGAAGACCAGACCTTTAACTCAGAAATGTGCCTGCCTCTGCCTCCTGAGTGTTGGTATTAAAGGCATGTGCCATCACTGCCCAACTAAGCCCCAAACTTTCTATTTCTTAAACATTTTTAGGGTTTCTTCCATGTGTGAGATAACATTGGTAACTATTCATATTTCTTTAATAGACTCCTGAACTATCATCAGACCAAAGATTCACCATGGCAACAGGTACTGAGTCAGAGCAGAGCCCCAGCTTAGATCAAGACAGCTGGAGGGACAGTGCCTCCCTGGACACAGGAGAAGGCCTAGGTGGCAGGCCAGAGTCTTCCTACAAGGCTGTCAGAGAGGTGAAAGGAGACCAAAACAGACAGGAACCCTGGACCAGGTCCTTGATGCACCCTATGGAATCCCATCCTCACTTGTGCAAACTCCACCAAGAACCAGAGACACCAGCATTGGCTACCTCTCTGGAAAAAGATATGAGACAAAACTGCTATTCTGTGTGTGATATCAGGAGGCTGGGAAGGTAAGCATTACCATATTTGCAGACATTTTGTAAGCTTTGAGTAGTGTGTTGCCAGCTGGTTACAATCAAGTAGTCACCTATTGAGAGGATTATTGTGCCCAGCACTGTTCCAGGCATTTGAGGGGAGTTAGAAACTATAGAAACCTGTGGTTGGAGTTGCTACAACCTGAGAACTTTGGGGAAAAGCAAATTCCATCCAGATGACAATTATCCCCAGTATGTCCTACAGGCTACTGTTGGCAGGCTTTTGTGTTTTCTTCCAGCACACAGTATGTATTCTGCATCCCCACTGCCTCTTTAGTTGCTGTGGTACAATGGGAGACCTTATGTGTATGCTCATTTCTATTGTTGATATAAACCTTTATTATCAACACTACCTGGAAGTATATTTCTATCTCCAAAACCAGGCTGAAACCTTCATTTCAATGACCATTTTTATTAGTCTGTAGCTCTGTGCCTACCCACCCTTAAGTATTTCTAGTTTTAATTCCTATTCAAACTTCTCAATTAAGTTTGAAGACTATTACATACAGAGACCTTGAACCTTGTTAGGGAGCAGAGATGGGGAAGAGGAAGGAGAAGTTAGAGGGAGGCAGGGTATGCTTCTGCTGCAGGCATTTGTAAGCATGCATGGACATGAGCAACGATCAGGAGTAATGATTTGATTTTGAAACTAATATAAAGCTGTTGGGATTCAATGACTCTCTTTTTTGATCACTGTAACAGAGTGATGAGAGTAGACTCACAGGGACTTATAGGTGGCACGATGTACTCAACCCTCTGTGTCTATAGGTTCTGTATTTGTGCATTTGACCAACCCTAGATTGCAAATATTAGAAAATGCACTTGTACTGCACATATACAGATGTTTTGGTTATTATTTTCTAGGAAATATAGTATAACAACTATTTATAAACCATTTCACTGTATTCATTATTATAAATCATCTAGAAATGAACTGGTATTTACAATAGGAGGCATGTGGCAATACACAAGCATGTACTACATTTATATAAGGGGCTCTAGTACCTGGGGATTCTGCTCTCTGTGGTGTGTGTGTCCTAGAACTGATCTCAGATGGATAATGAGAGACCATTGTATGCAGCAGAAGGCAGGATGATACAGCTTGGCTCTGGGAGAACTGTGACAAGTAAGGGCTAGCCTTACAGTACCTACAGGCATCTAGATACAATTTTTAAAGAATACTGTGCAAGCCAAACAGAAACCAACTTCTTTGCAACATAGAAACAGCATGGGCAAGCACATCCATCTATAATGTTCATTCTCATTATCTAATAATTAATGTATGTTCCTTGCAATGTTATGTTACAGTTTTTATTTTTTTCACAATGGAATCCCGGGCATCATATGATGTACTTAATGAAGCGATAAAGGGAATGACTTAGATTATTGCCCAAGGGCGGCCATTAGTAAGCTTCTGTGGGACATATGAGAATCCTCCTTTCCTGAAGGCATAAGTCCATTTGTCTAAACTTCTAAAGGTTTTAAAAACACTATTGTACATGTGTAAGACCACTGGGGAGAGTTAGTTCTTTCCTTACACTCAAACTTGGATCGTCACATTTGGCAGTAAGCCCCTTTACCTGCTGGACCATTTCACCAGTCCTAGATGTCTAAAAGTTGTATTGCCAGAGAGTTTGAAAGGGGGCTATTGATAACTGGATTAAAAGCATTTCTAGGTTTGAGCTCAAATCCATAGATTTCCATATGACTTTAATTCAATGTAGTCAATAGTTAATAAAAATATTTTAACTTCTAATTAGTGTAGACCATCAGTGTTTATTCATGTGTTACAGCATATTGGGTTTCATATAAAAAATGGTCAACTCTAACCTCGTACTCCACATGAGAGTGTACACTGTAGCTTCCTGCAGGAAGGGCTGCCTTCTCTTACCTGAATGTTTCCAGGGTGCACAACTTGCCTCTGCATGAGGAGCCATTTGTCACCAACCCTTGTTGGTCAGACAATGTTCCCTTACACCATGGTGAAATTTACTTTTTCATATTTTTATTTGTGAGTCCTGACCCCCATCTCCTCTTATATGATTGTTATTCACTTTTAGAAAATATTGTTTTATTTATTCTTTGAAAATTTCATGCAATATACTTTGAATATTTTGATAGTATCCATTCTCCTCTCCCAACTCCTCCCAGATTCTCTCGCACTGCCCTATCAACCCAACTTCATTCCTCACCCCTTAAACAAACAAACAAACCCACTTGTAGTCTAATTTGTGTTGGTTGACTACTCCTGGGTGTATGGCTTTGCTTTGTGATATGTACACTAAGTGTCGTTCCATTAAGAAAAACTGACTTTCCCTCACCTAGCAGCAATTAAATGTCAACAGCTTCCTGGCAAGCAGTGGGACTTTTTTTTTAAACAAGAGAATCATTTATTCTTATTTCCTGAATCAGATTAAATTTGGCTTACTTGTAAGGGTACACCATATGTCCCAAACCTGTCATCCTTCAAGGGTGTTCCCTTTTGAGGGTCACTAGAGTCCTTCATGTTTGTCCAGAACATTCTAGTGAGGCTTCTGATGCTCAGTTGCTATGGTTACTACCTTCTCCCCCGCCCCTAGGCTCCTGTGTCCATGAATAGCTAGCTGCAAGCCCCTCTGGGCTCACACTCCCCTTTGCACTGCTTCCATGAAATGACAACATTCTTCCTCCCTCCATTTCCTGGTTTTATTTTCGCCTCATTTTCTTATTCCTTTAAGACTATTTCCTCGCTATGAAAACAGAACACAAATCATGGCAGCCCCTCCTCTACAGGACAGTCCTTACCAGCCCTGTATGCACTAGCAACTATTTCCAAAGAAAGAAAAGTATAGTGTGTACCCAGAAATCATTGAAAGAAGGGTCCCAAACTTGCAAATAGGGTCCTAATTAGTACTGCAAAGTGGGACTGTGGTTATCTATGGGCTCCTTGGGAGCATCTGCAGGTCTGATGTGGCTGTCCCAGCCAAACTGCCCAATTGATTTTTGGCCTCTCTGGGTCCAGCATTCTGCAGTTTAGAACAAAAGACTCAAATCTGTGGAAAATGTAGTTTAGAGTCAGCATTACCACTTACTAGTGTGTGTGCCTGGATAGCTAGCTGTCTTCCATTAGTTAAGGGCTGCCCAGTTGTAAACTAGCACCAGGATTCCCCAGCCACTGTGCAAGCCAGAAGAAAAAGTGACAGCACGGTACCTGGCCCATAGTAGGAACCCAGCACTATTCTGCATTCCTACTCTTCCTTGGAAAAATTCTTGTTAAAGAACAAGCTGCATCGAATTGAAATTCTCAGCCAACTGCCAGAACTTACTATCTCCAGGTGGCTCTGTCTTAACACCAGATGGCTGCCAGCACCCCAGCAAACTCAGTGTGTGTTTAGATTAGATTTCACTGATCCTTCCTCATTCTCATCTATATCCTACATCCGGAGACTATAAAGCTCCCATGGTACATTGCCATGGAAGAGTTGCATTGCATACCTATGGAAGAGGAGGGATTGGCTGGAGATACATGTTTATACGAGGCTACTTGCTAAAGTTTGGGCATATCAAGTCTCATTATGCTTGGGCATCCCTATGGGATGACCAGTGTCATCTATGCTTTTGGTGTAGGAGCAGCCACTTTCTCTTTGGCTAAGTCTCACATCAAAGCTAGAGGTATCCCTTGAAAGTGTGGAGGGGGGTGATTGTAAAGATGCAGCTTAGACAGCACTGGCCACAGGCAGAAGTGCTCTGTACCCTCCAGGTCTCCTATTTCCTGCCTGGACAGTGCATGGCTTTTTTTTTTTTTTTTTTTTTTTTTTTTTTTTTTTTTTTTTTAGTTTGTGTCATAATTGCCTGCTGTTCCCTCCCTGTGTTTATAAGAAAATGTAATTTATGTACATTTGACCAAGTTCATTACGTTCTTAAGCCAAATTTCCTCCCAAGTACTTGACAAATTTTGAATTGTTTTATAGTCTTGGTAAATCATTTATTTTTATACACATACATGCATATGCTTACATGAAATGCACTTTTATACACATCCTGTAGCTACCTTTCAGGACTGGAAATAATGTCCCTTCACAGCAGAGCTCAGGATGGGGTACACACTGTCTGATGTTTGTTGGTTTGTAGCTTTTGGGGTATTGTAGAGTTGATTTTTAAGAGAAAGGGGCATTATGGGAAAAGGGAGCATTAACAAAACTTACCCATTGATCTGGGTGTGGGACGTGAGGCTGAGAAATGAGGATCCATGCATTTGGTTAGAAAAAAACCCAACTAAATCTTTATGCTTTTCTCTTAGATTTTCCTTCTCATCTTCTCTAACCAGATTAGCAACAGATATTTTCTGAGTGCCTCTCTGCATGTCTGCAATGCTTCACAAAACACCCTGCTGTCTGCAGAATTGCTCTTTCTCATCCAAGGCATGTGTGGCTATCTTGGGTTCTCCCTGGAAGGCTGAATCTTTCTCTTGCATCTGCATGTGCATCGCCAGATAATGAGCCTCACTGGTCCTCGGCCTCCTGTGTCCTTCTTTTGACATGGGGAATAAATGTCACTCCAGCTGGCTGCCTCTCTAAACAGACACTTTATCAGTGCTTAGAAAAGGACCTGCTATTTGCACAAAGTACTTTGAAGACTGCTCCTGGTCTCCGTGGGCTCTTTCCCTCTAGTCTGTCTGCTGAAATAGTTCAAACCATCAGAGTCATAATAACAGCATCTCACTGATGGAAAACTTACCCTGGGCCAGGTCGTCCTGGAAAGCATATAATGTATAGCAATCATTTAATTTAAGCATTCCAACAATTCTAACAATTTTTCCACCTTCCAGTGTTTTAGACAAGAAAACCAAGATTGCAGATAAGCAGTAAACCTACCCAGGGTCTCAGCTTGAACTGACCCCAGCTCATAGCTTTGCCTGCACTGATGTGCCCCCCCTGCAGCTCCTGCATGGGCTCCTAGGTGTACTACACTGGGCTGCCCCTGCTTATTAACCACACTGTGATATTTCTGTACTACCCTTGTTCTCATTAGTCTCGGTGTCTCACCAGTTCATATTATTTGCTGTTTGCATCCTGGTGCCCAGGGTATCCTCTGGCAAGAGCTGTTTAAATCTGGCCAGGTCATAGGTGATGAACCAGGATGAGGACCCTGAGAGGCAAGGAGAAGGGGGGTAGGCAGGAATTTCTGATGGAGGCTGGACGACACACAGATTTCTGTTTTCTAGTCCCGGATTGGACAGGGATGATGTTGAAGGTGATACATGTTTTCTACATGAAACCACTTCCCTCACCTTGGATGATGAAGAATACCTGACCCTCAACTCCATGTCCTGTGGCCAGCTGCCCTGTGAAGAATGTCTAGAGGCAGATTCAGAGACTATTCCTCTGCCACAGTTCTGTTCTTGGGGTGCTCTCCCAGAGTCCTCACTTCCGGAAGGATCCTATGGGAGCGAGAGTGACTGGGAGGACCTGGAGGATCCTGTGGCTATGGATGACGCCCTCAGGTGGGTATCACACTCCATGTGAGATGGGACTTTGCAGAGCTCACTTAGGCTGGTGTGAGGGTCCACTTGGGTATCATCTGGAAGCCATTTCTGCTGAGTGCTCCTGTGGTCTCTCTTCCAGAATGATTGCCTTACCAATAGGGGACTGTTTCATATGCTAAATCAGAGGCATCTCCAGGGCTCTATAGTGACTAAAGCACAGAGGCAGAAATCAAGCTTTCTCAACCTGGTACCACACCATTCGTTGCAAATGGAGGCAGTGCAGCTACCTGAGGCTGTCATCAAAAGGCCGAGATGACAATGCTAAATGTATAATGCGCTCTTGGTAACAGCTAGCTATTGTTTTCATAGACTTCAGTGGGAAGATGTAAGCTTTTGAAGATGTGTAACTCTGTTGTTTTCCCGCACAGACAAAGGAACTAAGCAGACAGTCTTGTGTCCTAACATCAGGTTGGGGCAGGAAGAAGTACCCGTCTATGGTTGAGGGTGGAATAGATGGACTGGTTGGCCCTCAGCTATAGAGAGTGGCTTGGGGTATAGTTGGGATGAACTACATTATCATATCAAATCCTACTCCAAATGAGAAGAGGTCTTGCCCCCTCTTGATAGAGGGTGGCAGTCAGGTGTTGAACGCTCATGGTGCCAGGTTGGGCCTGGGCTTTGTGGTTGGTTCACATACATGTTTCATAGCACCCAGGGCTACCCATCTCTGGACAGTGTGATTCTTTTGGGAAAAACACCATGAACATCCCTTAAATTCTCTAAAGGGTCCAAGTAATCCAGAGGGTTAAGTACTTCTGCATATTACCCTCTTTTGTCCCAGAAGCTGAGAGAGGAGGATACAAAGAGGACTTCACTTATGGCTGAGTAGTGCATCCTTTACGGACGTATTCAAAATTTCATTTGCTCTATTCAGACATAGATGATAGTAAAATTTATTTTCTGGTGCTGGAGAAATATATCCACAGTTAAGAGCACTTTCAGAAGATTTGGATTGGTTCTCATCACCCACATCAGGTGGCTCACAATCACCTGTAATCCAGTTCCCAGGGATTTGACTCTGTCTACTATCTTCTACAGACACCTGTACACAGGTGGCATACACACACACACACACACACACACACACACACAAATTTAAGAATCTTAAAAAGGTATCTTCTATAAATCTTTCTATAAATAAATGTAATCAACCCTTGTGGTATTCTTATTTCTCATCTATCAGTAGGCTTAGTTGTTTTATTTAGTTTGTCCAGGATCACATACTGTGTGGACTCATAACTGTCAGAATTGGCTTTGGATACATTTTCACAGAATGTATCTTTCCACGTCAGCCTACAGCACACACATCTTTCCATCAAGTAGTAGGAGAACAACTTTTTAAGGCTCCAGAAACACAAGCATTTATTTATTTTCATGCAGTAAACCCCTTTATCCATACATTTTTACATGCAGGCATTTGTTGCAAAGAACCATTGGTTTGGTTCAAGGCCCCTGTTCTCTGCTACACTATCAACACTGGGCCCTTACGGGGTCTCTTCCTGGACATTCCATTGATGCTCTGCTTATGGACATCCCTTTGTCTTCAGGAACCTAACCCCTGCCCCATCTATGCTACAGCAAATCACAGGTGGGGTGAATGTTGGGGCGGGCCAACACTTAACCCTGGTTCTGGGCCTGGGTAGTTGCAGGGTTGGTCAGCCCACCAGCTCTCCCTTGTCCTCACCATCAGGGTGAGCTCTCCAGCATTGCCCTGGCTAGTTCACCCCTTGCAGTGATGAGCAAGGGGCAGGGCCAGTTCTCTGCTTTCAAATCCTCAGGGTCAGGTCTGCCACACCTCCACCTTCAGGGCCAGCTCTACTATTGCCCAGTAGGCGTAGGGTCCACTCTCCTGAGTGCTGAAGCTGATGAGGGGTAGGGACAGTTTTCAAGATTTTATGACCTCAGGGCCCGCTCTCCCACATGAGGCGGGAGAATAATTCCTTCACCCATGCCACCACATGACAGCTCTCCCACACTTACAACTTCCGGGCTGGCTCACCTACACCTTCGCTGCCAACAGGGTTGGCTTTGTTGTGCTGTCCTGGTGAGGTGCAGGGCCTGTTCTTCGGTGTTGTAGCTGGTGGGGGGGGGGGCAGGTGGAGGGCAGGAGCAGCTCTCCTGCTCTTCTAATCTCAGAGCCAGCTTTCCTGCCTGCCTCAGATGTTGATAGGGGCCGGGTTGAGGGCATCTCTCTTTCTCACATGCTGCCATGTGGTAGATGAGGAATGAGTCCAGGTCTCCCATGCTCATAGTCTTGGGACTAGTTCACCTGTGCCCTCATCAACAGGATCAGCTCTGCTGTGCTGCCCAGACAAGGTGTAGGGTCTGTTTTCCTGAGTGTTGCAGCTGGTAAAGGGGTCAGTTCTTTTGTCTGTTTGAGGTGGGAAGGAAAGGGAGGAAGGCATCTTTTCCTCACCCCCACCACACTGTGGATGAGGGAGACAGTACCAGATATACCCCTTTCACACCCTCAGGGCTGCTCACCCATGTCCCTGTCTACTGTGCTGCCCAGGTGAGGTGCAGGGCCTGTTCACCCAAATGCTGCAGCTGGTGAGGGATTGGCTCAGGTCTCCCACCTGCTGCAGGTATTGAGGGGTGAGAGGAGCAGGGCATCTTTCTGTCACCCAAGCCACCACATGGCAGACGAGAGGGGAGTAACCTGCTCTACCATTCTCATACCCACAGAGCCAGCTTGCCTATGCCCCTTTGAACAGGGTCAGAGAGGTGTAGGACCCTCTCTCCTGAGTGCTTCAGCCAGTGAGGGGCAGGACCAGTTCTTCCTAGTGTTGCAACCAGTGAGGGTCAGGGCCAGCTCTGTACAGCCCTATCCTCTCTGTCTTTGTGGTATCAAGGACTTCAGACATCAACATAGACCTTGGCTTTATCAGGGCCATGAACCTAGGCATGGGCCCCAGCAACAACCCAGGCCAAGACATCACCATGTCACTGAGTGGCAATCAAGCCACCCCCTCACCCTGCTCCTCACTGCTTTTCACAGGAAATGAAGCAGATTGTTTCCCCCCTCCACCCCCATAACATACTATTCATTTGCTCATCCAGTGGCACCAGGTGGGCCCATGTGTTCTCCTCGAAGCCTGGGTGGGCCTGTGAGTGGGTCTCTTTGCCCTGCTCAGTTCATCATGGCCCTGGACAAGAACATGCTTTTTTTCAACTTTTTTTTTTTTTTTTTAACAAGCGCTTTTCTTTTATGAAGCCAAAACAACAATAACAAAACCCAGTAAAAATAAAATCACCAAACCACAGTTCAGGGGGATTGTAATAACAGGGTTGAATTATGTGATTTAGAGAGGTTTCTGCCCAAACAGGCCACTTACTAACAGTTGCTTACACTTTTAGGTGAACACACTGAACTAGGGATCTCCTGGGACAGAACCTGAAGGTTTCTGAGTGGACATCCTTTTGGCGGAAGAGCCCCTCAGCTGACTGGTCCAGAGAATGCATCTACTTGCCGTGCTACTGGGAAAGAAGCATCCCTGAGAGGATGGGCTAGGATGGATGGAGCTCCTGCCCAGTTACTAAGTGATTATTTCTACCAGTTTGTGCCTGTTATTTCTGAGGCTAATAGACATTAGTAGCCACTACTTCCTCTTCAGTTTAAGTCAAGCAAATCTTTGTGTGTATAGGGTGGGGCTTCCCTCATGAAAGGAACTGGGAACTAGTTCCTTTAAGTAAGATAAACAAGGGCAGGGGAAAGTTCTGGTTGCCACACTGGTGCACCATTTTCCGAGAAGGATGATGCTACATTCTGGTTTGCACCGTTGAGTCCTCATTGATCAAAGGACT